GTTGTTGTTGTCGTTTTTGTTGTTGTTGTTGATGTTGTTGTTGTCGTTTTTGTTGTTGTTGTTGATGTTGTTGTTGTCGTTTTTGTTGTTGTTGTTGTTGTTGTTGTTACGGTAACAGCTAAATAAATATGATGAGTTGCAGTGAAATAAAAATAACCTGTACTATACAGTATTTTCGTAGCGCCTTGATAAATCTATTATCAGCTAGCTTTCAAATTTTTATATTGAAAACCTTTACCACTTTCAAGATGTACTATGTATTAGGTTTAGTTTTTGAAAATATACGGTTTACATACATTGATCTATCAGTTCAAATGAACGTTAACACGTCCTATTGTGAGGAGTTCACTTCTAGATAGTGAATGTACAGATTGAATTCAGTTGTTTCTAGCTGAGAAGTAGTCAGATATAAAGTTCCAAGTAAGCAAAAGAAGAGACATAATCTCTGTTTAATTCTTTGATTCGTGGCCTCTCTCGCCTTTATCCATCAACGTAATTCATGAAGTTCATTCAATAGATCATCGATCAAAATACATTCTCTCAACAAATGTGCTTCTCTTATTAAGCACTTTGACTCTTTCCTTCTTCATAGTGTGCCTTTCTTTGATATCCTTCTTCGCGATTTATAACAATAGTGAGCTTCTGATAGAATGCGGATGTATGATTTCTACTTACTTTTGAAAGAACAAAAGTCCCCAAGGATGCGAAAACTAGATTTCTGGGTGTGGACTGGACACACTCACAGCTAGACTATATCGTTTTAGGTTTTTGTTTCTACTGTATTCACAATTGTATCATGATTCATAACTATTGTTCATTTCAAAATGGAATGTACCCCAATATTTTTTGAATAATTCAAGAACATAAGTAGCTAGATACCTGAGGTTTTTACCAATCGAAAGAGGACACCAGGGCACGTCTTTTTCTCCAACAATGTATAAGAGGAAATCCTTTTAAAACTAATTATTTTCGAAAAGCATATAAAAGAAGACATGAAAATGACCTGCCATCTTGATAAAATTTTGATTTTGACCTTAGATTTAGATAGAGAGACTTCAAGTCTATCGTTCAAGAAACAATGCAAATTGATTCTCGTATTACATTCTAACGTTAAGCAAACTGAGTCATGTATTTACATAAGCAAATAAGGATTTTTGCTCATTTCTTACTAATTTCTTTCACTTTTTAGCATAGTACCTGGACATTTTGATGGAAATGTAATGAAAACTAAGAAAACGCATTATATCTTGAACTATAGAATTGAAGTCCCTGTATTTAAGTCAAAGCTCAAAATCAAAATTTAATCAAGATGGCAGGTCATTTTCATGTCTTCTTTTATTGCTTTTCGAAAATAATTAGTTTCGAAGAGATTTCCTCCTACACATTATCGAAGGAAAAGACGTGCCCCGGTCTCCTTTTTCGATTGGTGAAAGTCGCAGGTATCTAGCTACTTGCGTTCTCAAATTATTCAAAAAATAGTAGAGCACCTTCTATTTTGAAATGGACAATAATTTCATTCAGTATCTTCAAAAAGATGCATATAAAAGTTTCGCCAAGATTTTAGCTCGTCTTTGTTTAGGAGCTATGCAAGATTTGTATATGTTTAGACCATAACACTGATTCCAATATTACAGTTGAGCAGAATTTCAACAATAATAAACAGAA